GGAGAACGCCTTGGGGTGTCACAACAAACTCGCCATGTCCGGGAAAATTCGTTAAATCGGTCAAAACTGACCAGTCGTATTTCCCTATATAATCGTTGTATTTTATGGGAAAAACAGAGGGTGATTTCAAAACGGATTTTAGGGCACTTACCTTCTTTACATCTGGCTAATTTTTTGCATGCTGTTAGGTAAATGGCTTGACCTTTAGGAAAAACTGTCGGTTTCACTCAATGCCCTCGACGAGGGCTACAAAATGACCGCGAGTGAAATTCTCTTAATATGAGATCTATTACGAAAAAAAATTTCCTTCATACGACCCCCCTTGAAATTTTGTGAGGTGGTAGGAGAACGCCTTGGGGTGTCACTAAAAACTCGCCATGTCCGGGAAAATTCGTTAAATGGGTCAAAACTGACCAGTCGTATTTCCCTATATAATCTTTGTATTTTATGGGAAAAACAGGGAATTTTCAACACAAGTTTTAGGTTACTTAACCTCTGTACATCATACTAATGTTTTGCATATACTTCTATAGATGACTAGGCCGCATGGAAAAACTATTGGTCAGACTCAAAGCCCTCGACCAGGGCTAAAAGATGACCGCGAGTGAAATTCTCCTTATATGAGATATATATAAATAAATTGACGAACGATCCCCTTAATATTGTTTGAGGTCGTAGACCGACTCTGGAGGGTAACTAAAAACGTTATTTCCGTCGGAAAAAGCCACTGTAGTCGTTAAATATGTTAATATATCATATTTTCTTATATAAGCATATTAACTGTTTGTTTAAAAAAAAAGTAAACAAAGACATACTTCATTTGGTCAATTTTCAAGGGAGGTAACCTTTTTAAATAATTATTTTTCAAATAATTGTATACTATTTTAAACAGAAACAGAAAACGACAAAGTATAGCATTTGTTTTAGTAAAAAATTAAGTTGTTTATTAAGCTACGTATCATAATTAAATAAAAAATTAATTTTAAACGTCACTGTAATATAAATTATGAGATATACTGTTCATGGAACCTCTGTATTTCTAATTCCTTTTTAGTTATAACTTGCGTACTTTCAATTATTTTCTCTGAAAGCGGATGTTAAACAACATACAACATCTTCTCTAAAATTAGGATTACTGTTTAAATTTAAGCACCCCACACCTCATCCATCACCAAATAATTAGTATTCAAATTATCAAATGTTTTTGAAAACCTAAGCGAAGCTAGGCAGTATGCCTAGTATATATATATATATATATATATATATATATATATATATATATATATATATATATATATATATATATATATATATATATATATATATATATATTAGTTATGTTGCAGTATCACTAAATAATAAATAACCACCATACACTATGGTGTTATATAATCTGCTAATGGTACTTACAATCTAATATATAAAGCTCAATTCTGTATGTAAATATAAGTTTGTTTGTTTGTCGTTGACATACTTGTATGGATTTAAGTGTTAGACTATTACCGTGCTCATAGTCTAAATTTATGAGTTAAAAAATTACTATTGAAAGTGTTGGGAAACAATTTTCATTTTTCAAACTGATAGTAATAATTGTCGGCATGTTCATTAAACACAAGTTTTAAAAAATAACCAAAATTCTAATTATTTCTGAAAATTATTTATATTTAGTCCTTTAGCACTTACTTCCCTTTGATAAATTAGGAAAACACAATTACTTCCCTTTATAAAACATTGCATTAGTGGAAAAGAATTTACTTTTTATTACTTTGTTTTGGTGTTGGGAAAAATATAATTACATAATTAGCGGGGATTGATCAAGTGCAAATGTTGTAGGTATTTTACGAATAAGCTTGGAGTATTATAATTGTTCATTTGGTTTGGTTTGGCACCTACGTTCGTTTAAGTGAGTGCAAAAGACTATGAATAAGTTGGGGTACTATAGTCGATTAGTAAGCTGAAACAGGCGATTCTGCCCCGGGCTAGACTGTGAGCACTTTGCGTTTATGTTCGCGTTAGTGTTTTCTTTGTGTTTAGGTTGGGTTTGCGTTAGTGGTTGTGTTTTGATTTGGTTCGTTTTTGTTCTTTCTTTTTCGTTTTCGTTTGTGTTTTTTTTCTTTGGGTTTGTGTTTGTATTTGTGTTTGTGGTTGGGTTTGCGTTTGGATTTGGTTTGTTTTCGTTTTTATTTGTAATTGTGTTAGCGTTATGTTTGCGTTTTGTTGTTTTGGTTGGTTGTTGTTTGGGTGGGCAATGCCGGGTTTATGATGATTAATAAACACACAGATAATGGTCTTTAACAGAAAGGTTTTTCACAGAAGCCAGAGCAGGGCCTGGCCGGGACGGCTAGTAGTTTATAATTTGGACTATAAAAAAATACATCACCCACTTTAATGCTAATGATGAAGAACAAAATGCAATTACTTTCCTTGGTTTGCAGTTGGGAATCCATTAAAGACGATCTTTTCTCCAATAGGGTTGACTTTAAAATCGATTCGCTCCGGCTATTAAATTAAAAGTTACTATATTGTTTTCTTCATATATATATATATATATATATATATATATATATATATATATATATATATATATATATATATCTACGACAAATTCCCGAATGACACTTGCCCTAACACCTTTCCCCTGCCTGCGCAACTGTTCTAATTAAATTGCCAAACATTTGCTTGTGTGTTTGAGAAATTTTAAGAATTTTGTTAAGCCTTCTTGATGCGGCCTTTTTTGTTGACATTGCAAAATATCTAAAATTTAGTGCAATTAATATAAATTTTTTCTCTGTTACAGCATGCTGTGTGCAACATTTTCAAGTGTTAAAAGTTCACAGGAGTATTCTGAATATATATTCATATATTTATATATGTATACATTCATATATATATATATATATATATATATATATATATATATATATATATATATATATATATATACACATAGGCCTATATATATATATATATACATTTATATATATATATACGTATATATAAAGTAAGATAAATAGATTTATACTTACTGGCCGATGAATCTGAAATTTAAGGTTGATGGATGTTTCTATACCTCTATGTAGGACTATCTATCTATACCTCTCTATATATGTCTCTATCTTTCCATAAATATATATGTATATGTATTTATATATATGTATATATATACATATATATATATATATGTATATATATATATATATATATATATATATATATATATATATATATATATATATATATATATATATATAGTCGATTGGTATACAAACAGAAGTGAACATTTTTAGTTCTTAATTATTAAAACTTTTTTATAATATTACACATGAATATGTTACTAAATATGTTACAACTGTCATTTTCATGATCATTTCAATGTCACAACAATTATGAACTCTATTTTCTTACTCTTATCCATATACAAAGTACTGTTATAAAATATAAGCCTTCTAAGTTTAAATTGTATCCCCACTTTTATGATGAAACTAACTAATTTTTGGTACACTAAGAACGGCTTTAATTTAACTTTTAATTATTTCCGAAACCGGATATATGATACTTTAAAACACATAAATCACGGCGTTTCTTAAATAAATTCTACCTCAATTTTTAGTGAAATTTCTGGCCGGTACATCCAGAATATATATATATATATATATATATATATATATATATATATATATATATATATATATATATATATATATATATATATATATATATATATGAAAAACCAGTGAAGTGCCCTTTCAGATGATAATGAGGCAGGTGATGTAGAACTTACCTATTTCAGTCACTTCGGTAAATGACTTAAAGTATAATATTCATATTTTATGACTGGTATTTCCTATATTCAAATGCCTATTTTAAGAATACTTAAGTAAATATTAAGTTGTGTGACCTACTGAATACAAAATCCAATGTACTTTAGCGCTTCCACGAATCCGAATGTACTTTATCTTTGTCATCCTTACCAACCCATTTAATTCAAAAGTTTTGCTTTTGAGAAATACCTAGTAAAATGAACATTTAAAAACGTCAGCATGTGATTAAAAGACAAATACATATTAGCGGAGGTGTGACGTTTTATTAGACCAGGTGTTTGATTTATTTTGTAACGGTTAGTGACAGTAGTGACAAGAGGGGGAAGATCAAATAAGAAGGACATCATTTATGAATGACCCTTAAACCCACATTCATCAAAAGAATAATGGGTGGTGTAGAAAAAAATTAAAATATTAATATACTGAAAAATGTCATTGGCTTTACCTTAATTTGTTGGCTGTAAATTACAATTCTCATGTTAAATGCTTGTTGTTCTTGTAACAGTTTACCGTCTGTAACTTTGTCTGGTCCCCACTTGAAGTTTCTTCTGCTATTCAAGTTGAATCTCTGAGTGTGAAAACGATAAGTGGCCTGCATTTCGATGTCTGGGACGCATGAACTTTTCTCACACAATTCGACAATAAAACTAGATAGAGAGTATTTAAAGTTTTTGGACATGCCACTAATAAGATATCAAAATCACGTTGAACTAATTCATAGAAAGTATATTTTTGATCATATGTAGTTTATATTCTTTAAAAAATAGTTCTTATAACCTTTGGGGTTTTTTATCGATTACTCCTTCCACAATGATTTCTTTGCCATCATACAACGGATGCTTAATTTCACCAGTGTAAGGCATTGGATACTGTGAATATTGTTCGGAGTACTTAAAACTTTAGAAATTTAAAAATTCATAATATACATGAAAGCAGCTGAATCACCAAGATAGACAGAGAGAAATAAAACAATTCGCCAAAAACAGAATACTAAACATACCCAACTTAAATGATTACAGGTTAATTAAGATCTAATAGATATAATACAGCATAAAAATTGTGGACTTTATTTTAAGCAGAAAAAAATCTGAAAAATGTATAATAATAGATAATATGTAGTTGTTGTTTGAGCAATCCGCTTTCAATCATAAGTTTATATCAACGTAAATTTAAAATATGTCATAGAAATAACATTTTATTTTAAGGGGGAAGGCTCCGGTAAAAAAAAAAAACTTTTTTAATACTCGTTAGAAAACATTTATTTCTTTACAGATTTATTAAGATACATCCGCATATGCATTTCTACTAAAAATGTTGGTGAAAAAATCTTGGTAACTGTGACAACGGCGGCCATCTTGAAAAATTAACCCCTTCGTAGGTTTTCCACCATTCATAAAATATTACATTTTAAGCCCAATAAACAATTAATTCATAATCTTCTTTCATATTTTGGGGCACTCAGCTAAAAATTTTAAATGCATATTTCAAACTAATTTTTTATGAATTTTCAAAATTTGTGTCCGTTCAAAACACTTAATTTTGGGGAATTTTGGGGCATTAAAACTAGTGTTTATTAAGAAAGCTGGATTCAAAAACGAATATTTGTGGTGTAAATCTGTATAAGTAGTCTCAAGCTGAAGATAAAAACTGTAATAGTAAAGCGGACAAAAGTTGTACGAGAAGCTCAGTGAAACATGAACATGCGACAGCAGTCAAATAAGCAATCTCAGGTAAAATAGTTGCATCAGCAAATGTTTTAATTAATTTAGTTTTTATCCCAGTATTCTTTTTACTTTCTCGTGTATAGAGAAAGTATTGTAATCGTGCAAAAAAATGAGATTTTTGCGAATCTCGATGCTTTACACCTACCTGAGTCGGAAAAACATATTTTTGCAATCTTGTCCGTATGTCTCTGTGTATGTATGTGTGTATGTGTGTATATGTGTGTCTGTGTGTATGTGTCTGTAAACAAGATAACTTGAGTACCGTTACGGCTAGGTTGATGAAATTTCATATATAAATATTATATCAAAATGGTAAGATACGTATCAACTTTTGAGCGATTTCTGATAAAAGAAAGTTGAACTTTTTCTTCTTTGAATTCATCAAAAGCCTATAACTTGAGTACTATTTTAGATAGATTAATAAAAATTCACATATAAGTAAAAGATATAATTCTCTGCCTTCTAACAAATTTCGAGTAATTTCCGTTGACCGGAAGTAGTAATTTACGCTATTTCCGATTTCTCAAAAAACGCATGTGAAATTATAAAGTACTGATAATATCACGCACTATTATGCACCTTTTGTTTGGCGTTCACTTGGCGTTCATTTTTCTACGAGATTCTATTCTATTATAAAAAGCTTAAGTAATTAAAAATGTCACATTGTAGACACCCATGGACAGAAATAGATATGACCGTGGGAGAAGGGTCTCTATAATACTCATACTGATCTATCATTCCAAAATTTTCCATGACACAAAATTGACCCCTGGTCATGAGGGTGCGCTGCCCTTGATTTATCCGCCAGTTTGGTTGGGGGAAGTGTGTGTGTGTGGGGGGGGGGGGGTGAGGTGTGTATCTCTTTCTACCATTCAGATTGTGCCCTTTTAAACCTTAGAAGCATAAGAGTGTTCTAACGGTAATTTACTCGATGGCTGATTTAGTGATGTTTGGCTTGAGACTGTCTTAATTAAAATAGGTACTTTATTTATTTATATTCATTTTTTTATGTGAAGTGAGAGTTTCCAGTCTATGTCTTAGCTTTGCTTGAAATATTTCATTTAACTCGATGTCGGTGTAGTTTTTAAAATAAAATCTGAATGTAAAACTATTTTACCTTACAGTCGATCTATAAATAGCAGTTGCCACTAGTCTGTTTTCGTTTTCAGTTCTTTGTCTAGTCGTGTTAATTAAATAAAGCGTGATTGCTTTATTTGTTTTGGCTGCTTGATTGGTGGTGTTTAATATTTTCGCAAGTGGTTGATTTGCTCTCTGTATTAATAAACAATCTCAATAACTGTGTTTCTCAGTTTCTTGTATATTTTGTTTACACGTTTGACATGTTATTTTTACATTTTGATTTGACTTTTTATTTCGTGAAACTGGTGTTGTGTTAAAAATCAGTCTGTATGCTACTTCCCTTTCTTCTGGTGTAATGCGTTTATTATGTAGGTTTTCTAAATGTCTATTATATTGTGTTCCCTGGCCCAACTAAATCTGGTGTATAAGGATGTCGCTTGTTGTTTGATTAAGGTGTCGTATATATTTTTTTGTATTAATAATGCTTTTGTTTCTTTGGAATGTTGCTATCGTTTTTTTACAAAAGCTGTCTATAGAATGCTCCTCATCTTTAACCTTATGAAATTTTGTGCTAATGGATGGTAATGTATCGTTTTATTCTGAAGGTGTTTATTTTAGTTTGAATGTGATGTAGCCCTATAACTCCATTTAATTTGTTTTGGTTTAAGGTTTTGTGGCTAATGTTTCTAATCGTGTTTTTGAAAATGGACTCTTTAATGTGCTAGTTTGTTTGTTTAATAAACGAGTTGGGTATTGTAGAGTTCGTCGCTACGAAAGTTATTTTGGAATGATATTTCTGTTTACTAATGCTGCTCTGGCAAAGATGGTTGCATTGCAGTATTGGTATTTTTCCAGATTTTGATTTATTTTATTAT